GTCGCATTGTGTCCGGAAGGTGATAAAACAATACATTTTCGGTTGTTCGCCACTCATACGGTGATATTTGAAAGCGTTGCTTTACTCAGTAAAGTAACGCATCAGTAAAGAAAATGTGCCACCCCTAGTAGAAACAATATGTGCTAAGAAATCCACCCACATCACAACGCACAACAAGCATGAAAACCATGACAAATGTATACTTTACACAGCAGGTCGAATTACATATTGGGACGCGAGAGTCCCATACACAAAAAATTTAATTTTTTGAAAAAATCAGTATGAATAAAGAGGCGGGTAGTAAATTCAGGTGTACACAGCAAATTCAGCTCTCTGTTCCCTTATCTAAGTAGGTCTCATTTTCGCTAGTCACAATGTTACACTATGAAAAGTTGAAATGTTTAGTTTAAGATCCACAGCTCAATTAAACTGCAGATGCTGTGTGCTCAGTTCGTGCACTAGTCATGCTACCAGAAGCTGTCCAAGCTCCTGTTTTTTGTGGATGTGACTAGAGCAACAGCGAACTCCTCCAGGAACAAAAATCCCTCGTTTAGCAGAAAACATTTCTCGTTGGCTACGTGGTATCAGAGCCATGTTTCGTGGTTTGTATGAACTGCATACTACGCAAGACCTGTGATGAATATATTTTAAGTATTTAGAAAAAAATATACTAAGCACGCTCACTGTACAGAATCTTTCATACATACACCTCAAAAAACGACAGGTATAAATCTGTTCCATTTTCTATTGTTTTGGATATAACTTCGGTTTTACTTGTAAAATAGGAGCAAGAAAACATCGGTGTACATTCGAACATGAATGTGTTATACTTCTACATAAGATTAAATTATTCTCCCTTCCATTCTGTTTCTTCCTTAGCAACACTCTGATCAAAGAAACATTCGAAGAAAAAAAGATACATCTATATAACAGAACGAAAAAAAATGACGAAAGCGGAGAAAATGCAGGAATTTCCACGCAAAACCAGTTTTTCGCTTATTTCTCGCAAAGTAGACTTTGAATTCGGACTTCAGATTCGGACTCTACGCAAAATAACGAATCAGAATATCTATATCGTTTCTTCCCAAACCACCCCGCTGGAAAATAGCCCGATTTGCTATGATCGGATTAGTTGTAATCGTGTCAGCTGCTTCATCTTGGCGTCTTTGTAATTCTTGTTTAACTATTTGCTGTTGAACATATGCAGGTAAACCAGGATTTAAATTCAATGCAAATGGTAAAACCATTTTTGGCAGCTCATCAAAATCAACACTGATTTTGAT